CAGCAGGAACCAGCAGTGCCCGGCTCCCCTGCTGCCCAGAGGGATGATGCCCTGGCCCTCACATTCCTCACGTGCCATTGGTGGCACTTGGCCATGGCCAGGGGCACTGCTAGCCTGGCTCTTCTGGGCATCCAGCAGCTCTATGTCCCAGCTTCTGATGGTCTCTGGGCTGCTGGCTGGCAGCCTGGTGGGTATGATTCCCATGGCCATGTATGCCAACCTGACCATGTCTGTATCTCTCTTCAGTGCCCAGTGACCTGACCCCAGAGGAGTGCCAGGAGCTGGAGAACATCCGCCGTCGCAAGCAGGAGCTGCTGGCTGACATACAGGTGTTATGCTGAGGGCCACCGGTGTGCACTGTGCTCCTGTCCTGGGCATAGCAGTCTCCTGCTCGGGGCAGTCCCCTGGGAGGCAGGGGACAATCTCCCTGCTGGCACCACTGGGCAGGGTCCCTGCAGCCCCATCCAGGGTCTCTCAACCTGCTGCTGGGAAGGGTGGCCCGGGTTGCGCAGAGGCTGTTCTGGCCAGGGTGCAGAGCCCCAGACCTGCAGAGCCCCAGACCTGCAGAGCCCCTGCAGGAGCAGGGCCGTTGGTTGGATTTGTGCTCCTGTCCCCTTTCCTCATCAGCCCCCTCTCCTTGTGGGAGCTCTCATGGACTTTCTGGGGCAGAGGATTGGAGGGTGAGCTGGGCCTTTGGAGCCAATGCCAGCGGCTGCTGCAGGGGGCAGTGATCTGCCATCCTGCTGCCCGAAGGCCCTGTCCTCAGGGCTGGGGAGGGGATCCCAGCAGGGGATACAGGCCCAGGCTGGCACAGCTTTTCATTGCACCCCACAGAGCCCCAGGGCTGAGCTTGTGCCAGTTCCTGGCACCCAGGGCACCACAGTGTGTCTTGGTGCCAGCCCCTCCCTGACACAGGCAGGGACCGTGTCTCTGGGCCAGGCCACAGTGCCTGCGAGGTCAGTGCTCATCTGGGACACAGGGGATTGGAGGGTGAGCGGGCCTTTTGGAGCCAATGCCAGCGGCTGCTGCAGGGGGCAGTGATCTGCCATCCTGCTGCCCGAAGGCCCTGTCCTCAGGGCTGGGGAGGGGATCCCAGCAGGGGATACAGGCCCAGGCTGGCACAGCTTTTCATTGCACCCCACAGAGCCCCAGGGCTGAGCTTGTGCCAGTTCCTGGCACCCAGGGCACCACAGTGTGTCTTGGTGCCAGCCCCTCCCTGACACAGGCAGGGACCGTGTCTCTGGGCCAGGCCACAGTGCCTGCGAGGTCAGTGCTCATCTGGGACACTCGTCAGTCACGTCCCTGATTAAGGCAGCAGAGGCTAATTACAGCCATATGCTAGGCATGATCTAAGGGGATTAGAGGGTAATTTTGTTAACCTCTGAATCTCTTCCTTCCTGCACGCTGGGAACATGGCAATGCTGGAGGGGGATTAGCAGCAGGGTGCAGCCAGCCCCCTCTGCCAGTGCCCCCCGAGCTGATTCAGCCCCAGGGCAGCACTCAGGGTGGAAAGGAGGGAATGGCTACTCCTGGGGGAATGGCCACTCCTGGAGGAATGGTCCCAGGGCTACCATCAGTGCTGGGGGGTTTGGAAGGGAGGGAGTTGCCTCTTGTCTCAGAGTCCTCTCTCCCCTCAGCGGCTAAAAGATGAGATAGCAGAAGTGACGAATGAGATTGAGAACTTGGGCTCCACGGAGGAGAGGTAAGTGTCTGTGGCAGTCCAGGGCCTGTGTTCTGAGCCCCCCTTGGGAGAGGGGCTGTGTGGGAGCTGTGGGCAGCTAGGTACTGCAGCCCCATTCCGTGGGTGCTGGTGCCTTTCCCAGGCACTTTACATTCTTTGGAGCAGTAGCAGGATCCCGGTCTGAACTGCTACTCCAAAGGTCTGTTTTTCCAAGCCTCAGCCCCTCTGTCTGGCCACAGCAACTGCCGGACTTTGTTTTTCTGAGCTGGCTCAGGCAGTGCCAGCCTGGGATTAGGGGGTCCCAGCAGCCAACAGGAGCTGAGGCCCAGCGTCGTTTCCAATCACCCACTGGGGCATGAAGGCTGTCACCCTCACGCCAGCCCCACTGTGGCCTGAAGGCTGCTCTCCCCTGAGCACTCAGCTTGCCCTGTTCTCCCCCTTTGCAGAGGTGACCTCCCAGGGTTCAGTGCCCCACACCCCTCCTCTGGGGAGGGAGGGGGTGCCCCCCTGGTTGGTGCCCACGGGCCCCATGCAGCCCCGTGTCACGGAGCCGTGTGCCGGATCAGTGCAGGGGCTGGCACGGTCAGGGCTGCTCGGCTCTTTTTGGTCCAGGCTGACCCCTCCCCACACTGCTCTGCCCGAGGGGCGAGGGGGTGGGCAGGGGGAAGTCAGGTCCCTCCTAGGTGCTCAGAGCTGCTTTGTCTTTCAGGAAAAACATGCAGAGGAACAAGCAGGTGGCGATGGGCAGGAAGAAGTTCAACATGGATCCCAAGAAGGTGCAGCAGGCGGGCTGGGCAGGGACCAGGGCAGCAGGCTCCCAGGGGCCACATGCAGGGGGCATTTCCTGGCCCATCTGGGGCTGTGCTGGTCTCTGCCACACCACAGTCAGGCACCTGGCCACCAGACCCAGGGCAGGGGCTAGGGAGGCAGTGGGCAGACTGGTGGGGTCAGCAGCAAGCCCCAGAGCTGCCTCTTGCACCACTGCAGGGCATCCAGTTCCTGATTGAAAATGACCTGCTGAAGAACACCTGTGAGGATATTGCTCAGTTCCTGTACAAGGGAGAGGGCCTCAACAAGACGGCCATCGGGGACTACCTGGGCGAGAGGTACACTGGCCTGGGGTGGCTCGGGTCTGCCCTGGGCTCTCAGCACCTGAGGGGTGTGAAGCTGCAGCTCTTCAGGCTCCCAGGGCAGCTGTTGAGGGGTACACAGGGGGCTGTTCAGTCTGTGGC